TCCTTCCTTCCTTCCTTCCTTCCTTCCTTCCTTCCTTCAAAAAGGGTAAGCACATGGTTCTCTGTAATTGTGAAGATACGGAGATGATTACCTCTTCTGGCCCGCTAGAAAACCAGGAAGCTGAGCTGCAGGTGCTGAAGGGCAGGATGGCAGCCAGGACTGTCTGTCTCTCTGTCTGTCTGTCTACAGCCCAATAGTGCATAACCGAACACCATCACCAGTGGTACTAATTTTGTTGCTTGGAACCACAACTCTATAAGAGTCAAACACAGTTGTTGGAGAGGAAAGAATAGGTCTGGATCTCTAGATCTTCCAGTGCCTCCTTCTCCAGCCTGACATCCTTCAGGTGTGATGGACTACAGCATCCATCAACCCAGCCTGTGCTGGCCATGCAGCCTGGGGACAATGGGATTTGACATCCAACACATTTAGACAGATGTTTCTGCATGTAGCAATTTAGCTGATGCTAAGGGACTGGATGATGGGTGGTAAGGGAGGATGGGAAGCTGGGAGGAAAGCGCCTGAATATTACAGCTAATTTGGGAAGTGCTTTATTAAATCATTTGTCTTGTATAATGAGAGCATCCAGTCTACTATAGGTGAGAAAGACTGGTAACCTTTGTTTATCTGCTTACAATGCATAATGTTTTGAAGACAGATGATTCTGAGACTGATGAAAATTTGGCCCTCTTTAATTTTAGTGCACGGCCTCAATATGGAATCTAGCCGAGGTACTGTAGACCATTTACCATTCTACTACACCTACTTGTCTAAAATGATGTGTTTTTGCTTTGGTGAATTGTTCGTTGTCCAAAAAAGATCCCCAACTACATTCCATGGATTGTGACAGAAGAAATCTGTCACGTGTCTCAAAAGTTAATACGTCACCAGTCATTCGGTCCTAAGATTAATTAACCTAATTTTGTAGTAACTGATTTTTGAGTTTTCAAAATGGATGAGGATGCTAAGCAGAGCCATAGCTGGCAATCTGGGCTTTGCTGGTTTGTTAGTTAAGCTGACGTCCCATGTGATTGACAGAGGAAAAGAAAAATTGGAATGGGAATGGGTGGGTCGGAGTCCCACACTGGGCCCATCTGTTTTCATTTTCTTTCTTCCCAGACAAGAGTAGCTGGAGGCAGCAAATGTGCTCAAGTGGGCAGGTTCACAGCCCTCTGGCACCAAACACCGACAGGTGGCTTCTCTTCCTTCCAACAACAAATTCAAGCACGTTGGGTCAAAGCCCTAGTCACCCACTCTAGTTAGGGCTGTAATGCCAAGCCACATCCTATCACTACTTTGACCTCCCTAGTTTTGAGGACTGCCGTTTTAATGATAAAAATTACTGTACAACTGAAAACAAAATGCATGGATACATGAGCAAGATCACACCCATTTTGGGTTGAGGGAGATGCTTCCTCATTGACTTAACATAACATTACACATCATCATCTACAAACCTAGAGTTGATCAAGGTCCATGGTTCCCAACCTTGGGTCCACACATGTTCTTAGACTACAACTCCCAGTAACCCTGTCTAGCACACCTAGTGCTGAAGACTTCTGGGAGTTTAAGTCTAAGAACATCTGGGGACACAAGGTTGGGAATCACTGATCTAGGCCAGTGGTTCTTAACCTTGGATTACTCAGGTGTTTTTGAACTGCAACTCCCAGAAATCCCAGCCAGCACAGCTGGTGGTGAAGGCTTCTGGGAGTTGCAGTCCAAAAACACCTGAGTAACCCAAGGTTAAGAACCACTGATCTAGGCCAGTGGTCCCCAACCTTGGGCCTCCAGATGTTTTTGGACTTCAACTCCCAGAAATCCTGGCCAGCAGAGGTAGTGGTGAAGGCTTCTGGGAGTTGTAGTCCAAGAACCTCTGGAGGCCCAAGGTTGAGGACCACTGATCTAGGCATTGCATGCTCCTTCTTCCTAGAGAGAGAGAGAAAAAAATTCCTTCCTATATTCATTTCCCTTAATCATATCTTAGTGCAATGATTCCCAGGCTCAAGGCCCAGATGTTCTTGGACTAGAACTCCCCAAAGCCCTAACCATTGGCTGTGCTTGCTAGAACTCCCGAGAGTTGTAGTCCAAGACCATATGGAGCACCAAGTTTTAAGTGCCACGATAAGAGGGCTTTCTTCCTAACTAGAAAGTAAAGTGCCTTTCCATATTGTGGACACAATGGTGTCTGTTTATGGCCAACCGTGGTTGGCAATACAATATTAAAATGGTTAAGCAGTACACATGCACCACAGTTAAACATGGTTAGCCCCAACCGGATTTCATTTCAGCCGTGGTTTGCTAATCTACATAAGCCAAGGAGAAAGAGTAGAGGCGTTTATTTCAGAGAATGGAAGAGGAAGCCCAATATTCCTGAAGGTCTGTCTAATTCATAAGCTGTACTTTGCAGAGTGCCAGCGTTCGCACCGTTCCCTTCTGTTCTTCAATTAAAATGTTAATGCATTCTTGACTTGATATTCTTACCAGGTAGGCACAGAGCAAAATAAAAGCCCAAGCAACTGATGTTTGCTAGATTTGCAAATTGATTTCCATAAAACAAACAATCTGACTGGAAAAAAATGTATGCTTCGTTTTGCTCATTGACCACAGGGGCAAGGATATTGAAACTTTAAAAAATAGCCTGGGCTTGCTGTTAAGCTTCATGCCTCAGTTCCGTAATGACAATGTGCCTCGGCCTTTAGATGTGCTCCATTTGGAAACCCTTTTAAAATTGTAGCAATCGTAATAATAATCTTTAGGAGAAATTGAGTGGAACATGTTTTTATTGTATTGTATTGTATTTTTGAAGCCCCACCTTCAGACAGTATCTGGCTGGGGGGAAAGGCACCTTTGAAGTTTATCAGTGATCAGAAGCAAAATTAGGTGGTTACAATCGCACATTCACTTGCCTGGGAGTAGGTACCACTGAAGTCAATGGAATCTACTTCTGAGAAGGCTTATATGGAAGTTGTTTTAGCTAAGTGTTCATTGTACCACAGCACTGAGATGAAATCAGTGTGAATGTACATTGTTTTCCCAGTTTATTTTCCCTCTAAGGCATTCTTTTAAATGTCCATTTGAAGAGCTATTGAAATGAAAAACCACATTGTATATCACTGTTCTCCTTTATTAACAAATTTAATTGGAGTAACACCTGAAAGTGGAACAAGACCTAGTGGAACAAGTTCCAAGTAATTCAGTTGTCCTTCATGAGCAAGAAATATTCTTTCATGCATGCACTTTCATCTCATGCGAAGCACCACACAAACTAACATCACATCTTTTTGAGGTATCCATTCCTTTATTTTATTTTTTTAAATTACCCCTGAGTGGATGGGATGTAAATGTAGACATTAACTTATTTTACTGTGATCTCTTTCCCAACTTGTGTTTGAGGCATGTGCAAATATCTGTCTTCACATCGTCATTGACTGTTGACACTTAAGACAATTGCATGACAATTGAATCTGTGTTCAGAGGTGATGCCAGGTTGGTTAATCATTGTCATTTGTTACCCTTCACTTGAGAATGTTAAAAAAAAAAACACCCTCTCCATAGTTAAATAAATAGGGTCTAGAAATGCAAGATGGTTGAGGGAATTTGGCAGGCCAAAAGATACTTCCTGTTACAGTGATGCCTCGCAAGATGAATGATTGTGCAACGAAAAACTCGCAAGATGAAATAATTTTGCGATTATTATTTTTTGTGACTCGCAAGACAAATTTTTCTATGGTCGTGCTTCACAAGATGAATAGGACTGCATTAATTAAATTTCAATGCATTCCTATGGGAAACCGTGCTTCGCAAGACGAAATTTTCACAATGCAAAATGACTTGCGGAACAAATTATTTTCACCTTACAAGGCATCACTGTACACTAAATCTAATAAGACGAAATTTTCACAATACAAAACGACTTGCAGAACGAATTATTTTCACCTTGCAAGGCATCACTGTACACTAAATCTAACGTTTAATGAAATGTTATTTAGCATGTCTGAAGAACCCGCATTTGTATCTTAATTTGCAACTTGTACACTGGCTTCTTTATAATGGTATATAGAAGGGCAGCTTACAACGTAGAGATGGGGAAAGTTGCTGTTTTCAACCAGTCATCCCAGTTAGCATGGGGGGTTTTATATCTAGATAGCTGCTGCATTTAGGTTAATTTAAATTATCTAAAAACACCTAGCATAAAAGAGAGACCGTGTGAGGGTGGGGGGATATTCAAGCACCATAACCAACTCTGATGAAGATACAATACCATATCAGCTGTCATGTGACTGAGTGTTATTGGTTATAGTAACATGACTAGCTGGAGTGAAAATTAAGGATGTGTACATCTGACATAAATGCCCCTTTACCCCCACCTCTGTGCAATGGCTTTCCCTCCATCATCATCACCACCGTCATCATCAGTACTAGTAGTAATATATGGATTTTTTTAATTGTCCGCACACATTCTCTCAACCCGGATTAAAGACAGGTTTGTCTCCTTTGAAATAGAGGCATTCTTCTACATGCCATTTTCAAATATGCTCAGTTTCCTATATGGTTGGTTTTTTTCAAAATCCTGGAACGTGAACATTTCTGAACAAAAACTGGACTCCCATTTCTGGGTGGTGCAGACCAGACAAGCGATGTTTTAAACAAAATAATCAGGGAAAATTTGTCAACAGAACCAGAATAGAAATGGTTCAAAGAGAAACAGGTCACAATGAGTGACAATTCAGCTGAGCCACTAGATTGGACCCTTTCCTTGTTTCTCTTTCTGCCCCTGTTGGATTCCAGTTGCTCCACGTGTGGGGCAGCTCCAGGGGGCAGGGCTCCCAGTTGTGCACTCCTTGTGTGTGATTTCAGGTCCTCAGGGTGTAAATATGTATACTCTTCTCTGTCCCAATGCTGTTCGACATCTTTCCATTCCCCTGGCTTGGCTGTTGTTGCTCACAACATTCCCTTTCTTCCATTTTGCCTTCACTGTCCTCAGCCTGCCTTTGCCTCCATTGTCGTTTAACTGAATTGTCTTCGGCCGCCCATGTGACTTTGTTTCCATGCCTTGGTGAAATCAAAGGTAGCATCATGGTATCTTCAACAGTCTTCTCCCAGGCTACGTACAGAAGTCTTAGATGGCAGTGGGGCAGCAAAGATCAGAGGAGCATGGGCCAACCAATGGTTAGGGCATAGGTGGACCACCTGGAGCCCCTTGGCTTCATTTCAGAATAACAGTTTCGAGGACAGGGTGTATGAAAAAAAATTATAAATGGACACATCACTAGGGCCGTCTAGAGCAGTGTTCTTGGGTGCTTTCCTGGGTCAGATAAGGAGACACAACTGTGCAGCGTTCCTCAGCTCATTACAAGGCCAACTTTCCCAACAGTGTGGCAGAGACTTCCGATTATTTCTGCTACTGCTAAAGCACTGAAAAGAGAAGAGAAGAAGGATGGTAGCTCTTAGAGCACACCCTAATTTCAGATTTTATCTGCCCACGCTAACCACCTTCCCTATTTACAAGAGGGAAGGAAGAGCTCTTTGCATTGTCTTATGAGAACCAGTCTTCTCCCACTAAGAGTCAGAAGGGAGCAGTACACACATACACATGCAACCAGTTTATATGCCGTCTGAGCATAAGGAATACCTAGGTCAATATCACGTCATTTTAAGTGTGGCTCCTTGCACGCCCATACAGCATCATTGATCTAATCAATGGGGCCATGGGGCAGGGGGGAGGCTTGAAGACCAACATTTAATGTAGAGGTGAGTGATAAATAAATAATTCACATACAGAAACAGATAGTCCTTTTGCAGAATTGGCCAGGGACAGATCCAGCATTATTAAAACAGAGCTACCAATGTAATGGAACATTGCCCTCTTCACTCCCTCCCCCATCCCTCTATATATTTATCACCCAGGGTGGAGAAACTCTGTTTGCTTGTTTTCATGTTACATTACAGGAGGTATTGGTGGCTGGGTGGAGTCGGAGGTTTCCTGTTTGTCTGGTTGCGCTTTCATAAGCAGCTTCCCAAGCCTCTTTGAGTCACGTTGAACTAAACTTTTAAGTCCTTGAAGTAATCATGGCAAAGACTTGATGGCTCACGACTGGGAATGGCAGTGGCTCCTGTCCCCGTCCATGAGCTGCCCTTGATTGAGGCTCCATCAGTTGATCTCCCACAGCTTCTGCTATGCCACAGGCCAAGGTTTAGCCTAGTCCTTACCAGGGAGGCTGGTCTGAGGCCCAAGTCCAAGTCTTTGCTACCAAGTCCCGACTCCAAGTCCAAGTCTTTGCTAACAAGTCCCAACTCCAAGTCTTTACTACCAAGTCCCAAGTCTGTCTTTACTACCAAGTCCCAAGTCTAAGTCTTTACTACCAAGTCCCGACTCCAAGTCCAAGTCTTTGCTAACAAGTCCCAAGTCCAAGTCTTTACTATCAAGTCCCAACTCCAAGTCTTTACTATCAAGTCCCAACTCCATGCCTAAGTCTTTGCTAACCAGTCCCGACTCCAACTCCAAGTCTTTGCTAACAAGTCCCAACTCCAAGTCTTTACTACCAAGTCCCAAGTCTAAGTCTTTACTACCAAGTCCCAACTCCATGTCCAAGTCTTTGCTACCAAGTCCTGAGCCTCAAGCCCCAAGTTGGAGTCCCTATTAAAAATAAGTGGTTTTTTTCTCCAGAAAAAAAGGGAACGGTGGGTGGGTTTTGAGTCCCCAAGTTGGAGTCCCTATTAAAAACAAGTGTTTTTTCTCCAGAAAAAAAGGGAATGGTGGGTGGGTTGTGAGCTGAGTCTGAGACATTGGTGGGGGTGGGGACAACTTGAGTTGAGTCACCGGGGTCACTTAAGTCCGACTTGACAGCGAGTGTTGTAACTCAACCCCCCATCCCTGGTCCTTAGCTCACAAAACACCAAAATTTTACAATAAATGCCATGAAGTTCTTAGATGCTGAAATTAAAACAACTAGCAAGGATAGCGGATGGAAGCAAAGTTGTAAAAAGATTTTTAAAAGATTTTAATGTTTTCAAATCCTGTTCCTTATAAGAATGCGGGAGTGAAATACAACCGACCGTGTGTTTGTTTCTCCTCATCTCGACTTAGCCCTCCCTTTCTCTTCCCTTCTCTTTCTCTTTCTTTTTCCCTTCTCCCTCCTCCCCCCCTGCAATCTGTGCCCAGATTAGCCAACCAGCATCTGCTGAACCAGCCTAAAATTAGGGGCGTGGGATGATTATTATTATTTTCTTTCTTTTTTGTTTGTTTTCTTTCTTTCTTTTTAATTTTATGTACTACAGAGAACAGTTTCGTCTTGTGGCCGTTCTCGTAGACTTGTGTTGGTTTAACAAGCGTCCAACCCTTTTGTCTTGTTGGTTTTTTATTTTTGTCTTTCCTGCTTCCCCTGTCCCCTTGTTCCCACAGGCTGTGCGTTTGTCACGTTCTCGACAAGGGCAATGGCACAGAATGCAATCAAAGGCATGCACCAGTCTCAGACTATGGAGGTACAGTACAGTATCACCTGACCTCTCTTTTGTTTTCTTTGCGTAAATGAATGAGAATGTAAAGCCATGCTCTCCCGGAGAAGATCAGACACATGACAATCACAGACTTAAACTCCCGCCGATTCCCTGCCATCAACACTCACGCACACACAGAGACACGTTTCCTCTCTCTCGTCCCCCCCTTGTCTCTGTGACATTTACTTCCCTTAATTGTCTGAGAACACAAGACGGTTCTCTGGGTTTTTTTATCTCTTAATATGGTGGCATTCAGCAGAAAATGAAATCACACGTTGAAATGCCACCTTGCCATCTGGAGAAATATACATTTGGCATATTGAATTGTCCCTTTTTAAAATATATATATTTTTAAAGCAATCTGAAGACTACAGGCCACCCTTCATAAATTCAGAGCGGCCACATGATATGAAGAAGGGCAGATGGTTGTGTTTTAGTTTTTTTGTTGTTTTTTTTAACTTGCACACGAATATCCGTTACTCCAAATATTTGCATCAAAATTCAAATTATGTCAGAACGTAATGAATTGCTCGGCTCTCCCTGAGAGAGTGAACTTCAGATCCATCTGGACTTGTACTTGTGACTAAATTCAAATCTTTAAAATTACTTACCTAAATAAAGGCTTTTTTTGTTTTGTTTTTTTGTTTTTTAGTCTGTGATTTTTGTCATGGTCTTTTGGAATTTTGCACCAAAAAAAGCCTCACTAGTCAACTATGTCGTATTCTGAATCTTCTGATTTAACAATTTGAGAATGCATGTTATATTGTATCGTGTATACTGTATCTGTGTATTGATTATTTCTTCTGAAGCGGCATTTTGATGTGCACTTGTTTCTTGCTTTTTAAAAAAACTCTATATTTTATTTTATTTTTGTTTGAAATGAGGATCATTCAGCTTTCTGGTATAATATTCCCCTCCCCCTTGTAATGCTCTAATCTCCCAAAGCATGCTGGGTACTAAAAAATCAAATAACCCCCAACATCATTGTGTCTGTGTCATTGAACTGCTTTGTGTAATGAGCGAAGAATGTGGGTTTTTTTAAAAAAAGCATGGAAATGTCACAGTCTTCTGTATTCTCCAGAAATATTGATATTCACATTGCAAAGCCTATTGTCTCTCCAGTCGCTCCAGGCTTTAGTTGGGATTATTTTGATATTTTATAATCAATGTGTTTTTCTTTCAGTGCGATCCAATTTTTTGAGTAGTGAGAATATACACTGTTAAATGTGACACAGGACAGGCCACAGAAAGGAATCAAAACACTGTTAAAAGCCATTCATAGAAATATGTCTTTGTTTAATTTTTTTTAAAGGTACTTTTTACTCCGTTTCTACGGCCCGTGCTTTATATTACTAGTGAGTTCATTTATGACGTTTTGCGGCCTTCCTGATGACTTCTCTGAAAGGATTCCACCTTTAAGATAATCAAGAAGGCATTGACTCCGTGTGTTTTATAAAGAAGGATGAGCATTAGGGCTCCTGTTAAGCTGAGGGGGGTCACAGAAAGAACACTGTTATGGCCAACTCCCAACTCTGCTTTCCTGTAACTGATACCCAACCGATGGCACTCTTGAGATTTTGTCTTGAGAGACACGACCTCCTAAGCGATAGGTCGAAAAATGGGGGAAGGGGAGAGGGAAGATGTATTCTCGAAGGCTTTCACGGCCAGGATCTGATGGTTGTTGTGGGGTTTTTTGGGCTCTTTGGCCGTGTTCTGAAGGTTCTGAAGGCCACAGAGACTGTCGAAACGTCAGGAAGAACAACCTTCAGAACACGGCCAAAGAGCTCAAAAAAACCATAACAACCAGGAGAGGGAAGAATTTTGTGTCACCTTTAAGACTAATGGTGCAACTACACTGGAGAAAAAATGTGAATGGATCCACAGTGTTGTCCCTGGGAAGTCAGGTTTTCTTTTCCCAGCTTAATCTGCACTGGCCATACAAGAATCAGCAAGGAAAGGAGATGAAATCAGCCTCATTGACTGTTTCAGTCCTCCCCTCCCCAGCTTAATCTGCACTGGCCATACAAGAGTCAGCAAGGAGAGGAGATGAAATCAGCCTTGTTTGCAGATCATTGACTGTTTTAATCCTCCCCTCCCACAGCTGATGCCTGAGTTTGTTTGTTACCCTCTTCCTTTCCCTCCCCATCTCATCCCCTCTCTTCCTCCTCCCTCCCTTCCTTCCTATTAAAAGCTTGTTTTCCTAGCAATAGGGCAGCTAGGTGAAGAAAGGAAGGGGAATAATCAGAGATAGAGGAGGACATTTTAAGGTAGCTCTGCTTTAGCAGTCCGGATTTGGAAGAGGCACTGTTAGAGCAGAGCTACCTTAAAACTTCACTTTCTGTGTCTCTGTCTGCTGAGTATTCCTTTCCTTTTCCCTTTGGTCACCTAACTGCCCTAGCACTAGATTAACAAGCCATTTAAAAAAGAAAGAACAAACAAAATGGAAGGGGAGATAAAAGGCATCAGGTTTGGGGAGGAGAGAATTCAAAATGGCAACTGGTTTCCGTACTGCTCTGTCTTTCTCCCTGCCGCTATAGCCAGCTGGAATGGCTTTAAGTACAACAACTCCAAGCTCCTCTATATTGGCTGAAGCAATCACACCGCTTGAACCAATGCAAATGTATTTGATTTCAAAAAAGTAGAAGCCACGGCAGTGGAGGAGAAAGCTAGAGATTAGGCAGAAAAAACTCTGGGCTGGTTTGCATTGACTTTTATATTATGTAGTCAAAAAAGGTGTGGAAAAGAATGCAAATCAGACTATCACAATCCTGGAGTATTTCCCCCATTAGTTATCAGTGTAGTCTCCCCCTTATAGACTTATTTTAGTGTTGAGCTTTAGTTGATTCAGTCTGCTGTTTCTGATGCGGTTCTTATAAGATGACCTTGTTCTACCAGATTATTAATTTAATGGATATCTTTGTTACCTTTGGTAATATCAAGTTCTATAAACTTCCTTTGATCTCAGTGGGAAGAGCTTATATAAACAGGTATATCAGTTCAAGTTCTTTTGTCAGGAAACAATTGCTGTAACCAAAGCTCAGAGCAATGTGTAGTGAAAAAGCATATCATGAGCACTAAGGTGAACTCTAGAATGTAAATAGTGAGGGCTATGCCATATATTCTCTCCCTGATATCACTAAGCATAGTCGTGGATTATGTTTCGGTCGGGTGTCCCTGAATTTTCATTAGCTTCCTATTAAGCATTTCTCTACAAGGTTCTCCGGTCATACTAGTCTTTGGAGATAATGAGACCAGGATGGATAATAAGCAATATTTTTTAAAAGATCAAATAGTTTAAAATCACAATTTATATATCATGATTTAAATTTTAAAAATTGATTATTTTAAATTTAAATCATTTTTAAAAACCCAGTTTTTTAAAAAAAAATGTTGTGTTTTAAATCAATTTGATTTAAATCTGATGGAGACAGAACCATACAAAGAATAGTCTTCCAGAGCAGCCCTTTCAGATCAAGGAATAAATTCACCGTTGGTGTATGTAGCCATTCTCTGATCTTTTTTTAAAAAAAAAAGATGAAACAGGAAATGTCAGAGAAACATAATGTTGGGTTTGCAGATGGAGGCTATCCAGAGCCTAGCCATACATACATACATACATCAGGTATGGAGGACGCCAGGTTGCTGCAGCCTCATATCACTCACTAGGTAGCATTGTCAAATTATTAAATCAAATAAATAAATAAATAAATAGAACATTTCAAGCAAGGTCCAGCATCCTTCTAGGCAAGGTGGGCAAATTTTCTGGGAACTTCAAGGGTAGACCGATTCCCATGACCCATCCATGCTCCAAAAAACGTTCGGACACAAATAGGGTGGTTTTGCTACTGAAAATGTTGCCTGGTGTCCTAGTGGGCATTTCACAGCACGTTGGGCCACACTGAAACTTTGCAATATTATAGCATAAAAGGATTTTCACACACATACATACATACATACATACATACATACATACATACATACATACATACATACATACATACATACATACATACATACATACATACATACATACATACATACATACATACATACATA